GAGCGCTAGGGTGGCGTGAAGTCGCGCCTCACGGGAGCGCCGGTGCTGTTGCAAAGATGGGGTCGCCGCGTTGCCCCCTGCAGCGATGACAATGCGGGCCCGTCAGCGTTTTGCCACGCGCACGCGCCCATGGCCCAGTATCACAAGGGTGTCCCCCCCCTCCCCCCCCCACCTCTTGAGCTCGGCCTCTATGGTGTCGAGGCTGGCCCCCGGGGCCTCCATCATGGCCCGCAGCTTGACGTGCTCCGCACCCAGCATGGCCTCGGCGGCGCGCTCGCTGGTGGCCTTGAGCTTGGTGCGCGCGGCGGTGAAGCGCTCCTCCGCCACCTGGTAGGGGGGGGGAGGGGGCGATGAGGTTGAGGGATGGGGTTGGGTGGGAAAAAGGGCGCAAGCCACGGCCACTACACGCAATCAAGCCAAGCCCCCAGTAGCACATGAAACGAGACTGCTGGCCGGGTTGATACATGAGACAGAGAAAGAGAGGGCGAGTGCTTATGTGCATGATTGCGTGCCTGTATGTTGGTGTGTTCAAGCGCGTGCGTGCGCGAGTGCTTACGTGTGCGCATGTGACAGAGGGTTGGCATTGCCTCCTGATGCTGGCAAGATGTGCCTCATGTCGTGATGGCGCGGCTGCTTAGCCAATGTGACACGATCCTGAGCGGCTGCAATGTATTGCAGCCTTACCAACCGCGCATCGCTGCAAGAACAACATCTGCCTGCGCGAGCACCCACCTTCCTCAGCCGCTCCTCATACTCCCCCACCAGCACAGGGTCCCCCAGGGCCGACTCCTTGAACGACCTCACGGCAGAGGCCAGGGACGCCTGGAGGGGCGGGGGTTTGGGGAGGGGGAAGGGGGGGGGAGCGGACAGCACTTTAGGGTCAGCTGAGTTGTGCAAGCCCAACCTCCAGCCATCCAGCATCCATGACAGGGGCAGGCCAGGCCGTCATGCAGGCCTGCTGGGGCAGAGGGGCGCTGGATCCTCGCGTGCCCCACCGTGTATCTGTCAAACAGCGCCGCCTCGTCCCCGCAGCCCTCCTCCCTGAAGCCGGTGGAGAAGGCCCCCAGGGCGGCGTCATACGCCTTTTGGCACTCAGCGCGCGCGATGCCCTGTCGCAGAGGGGTTGTGTGGTGGGTGAAAGTGGGAAGTGGCGTTGTGACCGAGGTCCACGAGGCCTGGAGAGGCATTAGGGAAGACATAGACAGCAAGTACGCTGACACTGTCTGTCCGATTCAATTTTGGAAGCTCAGCCTGCCGGCATGTCAGCTGGACACCATTTTACGCAAGCCGCAGTGAGCACCTGCCATGCCGTGACGAGCTGTGGCACCGCGCCCTCGTTGAGCGCCGTCACGTAGGCCCCCGCCAGCTGCGAGTAGACGCGGCCCGACACCATGGTGCCCGCAAACTGCAGGGGATGCGCCTTGGAGCGCAGCAGAGCCATCAGGTCCTCCATGCCCTTGTTTGGGGTGGGGTGGATAGGGGTGAAGGTGAGGGTTCGGGTGGGGGAGGGTGGGTGGTCCGAAAGAACAAGAGCACCGCAACACCAAGATACAACACGTCTCATGCCTGCCAGCTCATGCCCAGCCACCATCTGGATGGTCAGTGAGGTTGACTCGCACCCGATTGCAATTAAACCAGGACAGCAGCCTACCCGCGTCCCAAGACCAATGTCGGCCTCCAAAGCACCCTCCCGTTCCCCTCTACCCTCATCCTTCCCCCGGACATACCAACCCCTGCCCCTTACAACCCCTGACCACCTTCTGAAACTCTGGCCTGAGCTTGGAGTAGGCCACGGTGTCCAGCCGGTTGAGGTCCTCCTCCCGCAGCATGGGCCGCAGCAGGGTGTGGGCGTCACGGTCCGGGAAGACAGCGCGGATGGTGGCGCGCATCTGGGTGTGAGGGCGAGGGGGAACAGAGTGGTGGTGGGCGCTGGGACAGCGGTGGTATTGTGAGGATCCACAGCTGCAGCCACTCGTACCTGCGCACTCATGGCCAGCCCGGAGGCTCAATAGACCGAAATGTGTCTGTTAAGCCTGGGTATCGCCCCGTCAGCGCACCTGGTTGCGGTTGTCCTCGTCAGCGCCGCCGCCGCCCCTCACATCCGCCAGCACCTCCTCCAGGTATTGCCCTGCGCTGATGCCCCCCTTGCCGCCCCTGACGACACCAGCCGCCGCGAGCTGCAGCTGGAAGTCGCGCAGCAGCCACACAAACGCTGGGTGGAAGTCTGCCTGCCCGCCTCCGCGGCCGCTGGTCGCGCTGCGCTCCTTGATGCGCTTTGCGAGCTCGCAGACCATGGCCAGGCGCTCCAGCGCGACCGCGTCTATGGCCCCGACCTGGTTGTATACGAACATGCTGGACAGCAGCACCGCCAGGCTGAAGACCTGCGCGCTGTGCTTCTGGCCCTGGTCCACCGCGTCCACGCCCTCACAGTCAACCAGCAGCTGGGGCGTAGGTTTTTGATGGTGAGATGGGGGGAGGCAGCAGGTGAGGGTGACGCCGGGAACTGGACGTCCTGCGCGCCAGCTGCGATGACAAGTGTAAGGCGGTCGAAGACCGCAAATCTCAGCCGTTCTAGTCAGCACGCGCGCGCAATGACCAGGCCCTTTCCCCACACCCCATCGCCGCCTCGGGGCGGGCAGCTCACCAGGTTGCAGGGTCGCCCGTCCGCGTCCTTCATGGGTATGGGCACGCTCCACATCCACAGGCCACGCGTGCACGAGTGCTGTGTTGGCGACACCTTGAAGCCCTGGGGCAGCTCCTGGGGGTGAAGGGGGGCACGATGGGTGGGAGTGCGATTGGGCATCGGGCGGTGGGGTGGGACGTGGCTGTACAGACAGCAAGGCAGGGCACAAGCTCGCTGGCCGCCCTGTGACGCCCCCACGCCGCTCGACGTTCGCTGCATAACAGGTTTGCAGGCAGCCCGCCCATTCACGCGCTCCAATACAGCGCGGGTCCCGAAGCAGCGTGGCCCACCTGCCCCGTCAGGCGTCCCAGCAGCGTGTTGAGCAGGAAGCTCTTGCCCTGACGCGCACGCCCACATACGGCCAGCGTGCACAGGGGGCCCGGCACGCGCTGCAGCACCGTGGCCGCCTCGGGGTTGACCTCCCACTTGTGTGTTGACTCGTTGAAGCCGATCAGCAGCAGTGGCTTCCCCTGCGGCACCTTGACCGCCGCTGGAGTGGGCGGCGTCGATGCGCGCCCGCTGCCAAACCACGACTGCAGAGCTCAAGAGAGGGAGGCACAGGTGTTGTGAATAGCGGGACGTGATTCTGTCCTGCCCAATCAATATTCAAGTCTCGCCTGCAGCAATGAAAGACAACTGCATTTCCTGGCACTCATACCGCATGCAACTGTTCGCACATGCGCGCCGTTGTCGCCACCCAAGCACGCGGGCGTGCAATGGCACCGCACCTGCATGGCCGCTGCCGTCAGTTACGCCAGCCCCAGCTCGCAGGCCTTGATCCACAACCCTGCACGCTGAAAAGCTACGCTGACAGGTAGACCACCATCAAAGATCTACAAGCCAGAGTGCAGGCTTGGAAGCCTGCCTAAGTCAAAAGATCCTTGCGCCCGGTCCTTGAATTCTGACTTGTTGGCGAGTCCTCTAGTCAAAAGGAAACGCCCGTCTGCCAGCACAACAGCAGCATCCCGCGCAGTGTGCCGAAACACTCGCCTCGTGGGACGGCCTAGGGCATTCAATAGCCTTGTAGCGCTCGTTTCACTACGCATCCATGCGCGCAGCAGCGTTGATGGGCACGCGGCCGGCAGCGGCGAGCGTTGCCATGCCGCACGCGCGAACGCTGGCACTTGCGGCCACCACCCCACGGGCGCAGCTGCTGGCACCGCAGTGGATCCGTCGGCAAAGGCTCACGTTCAGGTATGTGCTTGAGTTGATTGTGCATTACGTCTCGCTTTTGTAAGCATGCACTCGGTGTTGAGGGCTTTGGGGGGCGGGTGCCGCATTCGCATACGAAGCGCTTGCCAAGCACGGCGTTGCTTCGGCCACCCGCATGGATGCGCAGGGACGACCTGCTGTGTGCCTCCGCGACCAATGGTGCCTCCGACGCCGAGGCTGCCGAATGGGTTGAAGCGCCGACGCAACAGCAGCCTGCTGTTGACTCGGCAAGCACCAGCGGCAGCGAGTCGGGCGGCGGCGCTGCCGAGGCGCCTGGGGCGTCTGCGTCGGCGGTGCGGTCGCACCCCCTGGCGCTGCAGGACGACCCCTTTGCAGCGGAGGAATTGGTGCAGGAGCTGTCAGACACGACGTCGCTCGGCAAGAGGGGGGAGGCGTTTGTAGCAGCGCAGGTGCTGACAATGCTGTTCGTGCTCTTCCCGCCCTTCAGGCTTGTGGTGAGAGGATGCGACAAGGGGGTGTACGGGGGCGGGGGTGTTTGTGTTAGAGGCTGGCTTCACCCTCGCCAAGCCTAAGCGTTGGAGTGGGTGCGGTCGCTTGCCTTTTCAGGCTAGCAGCATACCAGCTGAGAGGGCGAGTCGTCGCAGCTGCTGCTTCGCTTTCTCATCCACCGGCACCCCCCTGTCCCTCACCCTCGGTCCCGCCCTCAAGGGTCTCTTTGACCTGATGGCAACACGTGAGCAGTAGGGCGGCCCATGGGCCAACTTGGCGTCGCCGGCTGCCATGCAACATCAGCACTGCCATTAAGGGTACTGGCTTTGAGGGCTGGAAGTCCCACCAGCATATAACAGCCTCTTCTTTTGCTTATTGGGCACCTTCCGACCCCCGCCACACTCGCCCCACCCCTGTGCCCCTTGCATCCAGTCGCCCTCACCGCGGGCCTTGTGTTCTGGTGAGGACCGGGGTGGCGCCAGTGACAACGCCATTGCAGAGGGTCATGCAGGATCTCAGGTCGCAGCAGACCGCCGCGTGTCGCCGCGTGCGCGTCATCGCACAATGAACAATCTGACATCTCCCCCCCCTCCCCCCCGCGCTCCTGCAGTGTTTACGGGCTCATCAGCATTGGACGCTACATCAGCCCCCTGCCCACCCCCCGCAAGAACCACAAGCTCGTCACAGACGGCCTCTTCGGTGTGTGCGTGGGGGGGGGGTGAGGGGAAGGGGTGGATGATTGGGGATCAGAATGGGGACAGTTGAAAGGACGTCCATCAGGGCGGGGCTGCGGATCAAGTCGTGCTATTGCCAGCTGCCTTTGACTCTGCCTGCGGCGTGCGACTGAGCTGACTTCCCACCATGGATCGCCCTGTACCTGGATTGGCCCTCCTCTGATCGCAGCCTACGTGCGCCACCCTATGTGAGCGGGCCCCCTATGGGATGAACTTGCGCGGGTGGCACTTGCAAGGGTCCTGGGTTCCTGCCAGACTGCCAGACTGCCTTGCCTGTAGCGTCTATTGCAAGCAAGCCGTCGTTGCGCACTCCCACACCGCGCGGGCTTGGCGTGGGGCGACCCCTTCTTTCCCATGCACCCTCTCGTGCCTGTGTTGCCCAGGTACGGCGGGCTTGTCCTAGCCGCGCTGGGCCTGGCCGCCATCACGCGCAGCGAGGGCCGCCTGGCCCTGGCAATCGTGCTGTGGTTTGTGGTGGACCGCAAGGCCAAGTTTGAGGAGAGCTGCCTGGTGCAGAGATACGGCGCAGAGTGTGAGCGGGGCGGCGCTGGCAGCGCTTTTTTCAGGGGTTTGCATGCACGCATCGCATATCGGAGCATCTGAATGCTGTGAGTGCCACTTCCACCCCTGGCCATTGCAGCAGTTGTCAAGCCCCATCCAACTGCTCTCAATGCTATGCCCCCATGATTCCTCCCTTTCCACCCTACCCACCACTTGCAGACAAGAACTACGCCGCCAAGACAAAGAAGTTCATCCCCTTCCTCTACTGACACGCGGCCGGCTAGCTTGGTGTGAGTTCGCCCCTCTCGGTCGGACCATCGTGTCATCCACCATGCACATCAGCACGCACGCACGCATGCAAGCAAGCGGCCAGCTGGCGCGGTCTTGCGCCTTGTGCAGCCACCCTCTCCTTGCTCATCGATCGTGATCGACTCAGCATGCCGTTGTGTTCATGGTTGGATTGCACCTTGTGTACAACAGTAACAACTCACTGTGGTATGATCGCGATTGAGGGCATTTGCCCTAGATAGAGAGCAAATGTGCCGTAGCCAGAAGCGTAGGAAACACACTTCTGGTCCTACTCAGAGATTGGCATGCCCGCCTGAGGAGTCATGCAGAGCTAGAGTACGGTAGCAGCTGCCAGCAGCGCAGCTGCTCCAAGGACAAAACAGCTCAACACAACGTGGAAGGCTGTTGCTGGGGCAAATTTTGCCCGTAACAAATATAAAAAAATAACATGACTGTTGTATTTTGTGCAGGCCGTATTGTATTTACTCGTCTGTACATACCGTGCGACAGGCTCTTCGCGACAGCCTTGCAGCTCGGCGCGACTGCTAACAGTTGATACAGCAAAACAGAAGTTTTGCGTTCTCCACTGTGATATTGCCGTGCTGCACGCCTGACGTGGTGGCAGTATTGTCTCAGCAGCACTGCAGAGGCGGCGCGCAGCACGATGGGCGGCGAGCCTGGGCACTTGTTTGGGACATTCTCAGAGCCCGGGACCCTGGCTATCGGGGACCCTTACTCCAAGCCGCCAGGTGGACAGCTGCAGGATAAACACCTGGATTGGGGTTGGGGCAAGACTGCAAAGTTGAACTGCACCCAAGGGACGGGGAGGTGGACTGCGGGGCAAGTACCACAGCACCCCCACTGCAAAAGCAACAGTTCGTTGACTGGTTTGACCCCACGGCCCTTCGCCGCACCTCGCCGCAGCAACCAAGCTGCCACGCCACAGCGGCAAGCAGTTTGCCATAGTGATTGGCAAGGAGGGCCGCAGCCCTGAGGTATACCTTGACAAGCAAATCAGGTGGGCTCGATGTGTGAGGCGCGAGGAGCGGGGGCTGGCTGGCTGGCTGGAGTGCACAGAACAGGAACTTCGCGCTGCGACAGCAGCAGGCATCTGGCAATGCGGGCTGCTGGGCGCTCAGTTGCAGACCACTCGCCTGGCCGCGCTCTGCTCGCAGGAGCCTGGGCGAGGGTGCGCCTTATGTGGATGCGTGGATTCTGGACAAGCGGCTGAGCCGCATCCCTGGCAAGCCCGTCAGCGACAAGCCCTTTGCGACGTTGGTCGGGCGGCGCGGCAATATCAGGTGCGAGTAGGGGCTGGTTGGTGCGAGCGAGCGAGGCTGGCGGTTGCAACGCGCCCTGGTTTCCCTAACAGAATGGCCAGGTAGGGCTGGCAGCAAACGGGGATGATCGCGCTAGTGCACGCGCATGTACTCGCAGGTTGTCCTAGTGAGCGCGCCCTCCCTGCCTTCCCACCCACGCCGATCCGTACTCGGGTGCAGCTGTGGGCCGGGCAGCACCGATGGATGCCTCAGCAACGTGCCGCTGGACACAGATGGGTCAGCCGCTGCTCGACGCAGCAACCCCCCAAGGAGGGCGGCTGACAAGCTGAAGAACATGTACACCACAGGGCCCAAGACTGGTGGTGCGTGGGTCTTGCGGCAACCAGGGGTCGCAGGCCGCACTCCTGGAGAAAGGGAGAGGGGCAGAAAGCAAAGGCTGCACGTGGCCGGGGCAGAGCGGACAGCAGCACGTTTGCATAGTGCAGGCAAGACCAGCGCTGTGTCCGCAAGCTTTGCGAACTTGTCCGTCACGAGTGCTGCCATACTTGTGCCCGTCGGTGTCATCACAGGCTTTGGCCGGCCATGGCGGGACCGCACCCTGGGTGAGCCGCCCGTGTACCACAGCGACGTGTACAACGGCGGCCGCCTCAAGGAGAAGGTCGGCCATGCCCGGGGGGGGGGGGGCATCACCTTCCAGCCGGAACAACACCCACCTGCGCTGCTGCCCCCCTCGCTTTGGACAAGGCGCTCAGGCTGACACTCTTTGTGCCCTGACCAATCCTGGATCTACCCGCGCACGACATACACCTCACCACTGGGCAGGAGATGGCAGCCAAGGCCAAGGCAACGTCGGCAAAGCCATTCGTATCGGCAGGCCACCTACGGCGAACATTCTCAGCGGACACCTTCCTGTCGCAGAGGCAGCAGGCAGGTGCCGCGACAGAGGCGCAGCAGCAGGGCGAGGGGGCCCGCGCATCCACTGCTGGGTCCCCGGTGAAGCCGTGGCGCGCTGGCGCGCCACCGAAGCAGGTGAGCAGACTGACAGGCCGATGATGAGGGGTGCCGCAGCTGTCGGGTTTTGGCAATGCCTCACAAGGTTGGTTTGCCCTTTATTGCGAATCTACATAACGCCAAACCTTGCATTCCCTGGCGCTGAACCCAATCCCTCGTGTGCGCGCTCTGTTGCAGGGTGCTGCCTACTGCGTTTTTAGCCAGGTGGGGCGGGACTTCATGCCAGATCCCGTGCACGAGGCCCAGGTGAGACAAGGCGCCCCCGCTAATTGGCACGTCTCAGTTCCTCGTGACTTTTCAAAAAGGGCGCAACTGCCCGAACATTATACACGGCTGGCAGAGTCACTCCTCACAAGCTGCCAACCCAGAACAATCGACATAAGCGCTTGCCCACCGCTGGTCGCCGCCGCGCTGCCGCCCCTCGTGCCCACTCAGTTCCGTCGCCAGCAGGGCAGCGAGAAGCCCTTCAAGCCGGTGGGGTCATGCCACAAGCGGCTGTCCATGCGGGACGTCAACCCCTACACCACAGCAGCACGCCCCGCCCCAGACATCGATTTTACACTCTTCTCCCGGGGATGAGTGGCGGCTCCTGCACCCGCGGCCTTTGAGTGGCTGTGCGCTCCCTTGCAGCGCGCAGAATGTGCGCGCTGAGCGGTTGGTTGTGCACATGCACCCTGAACACAGCCAAGGGGTGTAACACAACAGCCTTTCCTGCAAACAAGCCTCGTCGTCTGCCGCACATTGCTTGTAGCCAAATCAGGGCGCAGGCTCTCAACAGCCGGGCTAGTCCTTGTGGGCGAGGGCCGCCACGATCAGCGCCGCCTTGGGGAAGGCGCGCGGAAGCTCGTCATACAACACCTGGCGCTGCTCTTGCGACAGGTCAGCCCCCGCCGCGTCCACCGCCGCCACCAGCGCCGCCGCGGGGTCGCGCTTGTCCAGGGAGGGGTACGCCGTGTAGCACTGCAGGGCACCCGCCGCCGCCGCGCCCGCGCGTTCGGCCGCCGCCGCGCCGACGCGCGCGCCGGTGGACATGAACCCGACCAGCAGGCTGTAGGCGCAGGCCAGCAGCCGCAGCGCGGCGCGGTCACGCTCGGCGGCGCTGCCGGCTTGGGAGCGCGCGGCGCCGCCCAGCTGCGTCACGTAGGCTGCAAACGCCGCGCTGCTGCCGCTGACTGTGGGAGGCGTGGAGCCGCCGCCGCCGCTGCCGCCGCCGCTGCCGCCCCCGTTTCCGCCGCCTCCCGCAGCGACCAGGGCCGCGAGGTCCAGCCGCAGCTGCTCCCCGCGATGCAGCCCGCTGCTGGCCCCCAGCCGTCCCAGCGCCGCTCGCACAGGACCGCTGGGGCCAACCGCGTCATTGCCGCCACCGCCGGCACCGCCTCCCAGGGCCTGGTGCAGCGCGTCCTCCATGGCGCAGTGCACCGCGGCCATGTCGGCCAAGTACTGCGCGTAGCGCGGCCGTGTAAAGCTCCACCGCTGGAACGGTGGGATGGGCCGCCCGTCATTGGCCAGCTGCATCGCGCCCTGCGCCTGCGCGATGAACAGCAGGCGGGCAGAGCTTGGGCGGCGATTGTTGTGGTGGATCCATGCAAAGCCGTTCAGACCAGTGTTGGGAACGGCACCGTGTCCTGCTGCAGCTGGATTGCAGGCATTGCGCTTCTTGCGTAGCTGGTTCACTCGCCCCAACCCTCACGCTCGAGACCGCCTGCCCTCCGCTCCCGCACCCCTCCCACCCGTCCCAGATGAACCCCGACCGCCCCCTCCTCCACCCCCCTCCTGAGTCCCTCACAGCACCTCGAGCTGCTCCAGCAGAAGCGCCAGCTGCACCGACAGCGGCCGGTCCGCCGCCGCGTCAAAGCGCGTGCGCAGCGCCGTCACGGCCAGGTCCCCCAGCTCTGCAGGCGCCCCTGAGCCCCAGTCCTTGACTGTCGCCACGTCCAGCCGCCCGCGGGCCGCCTCGCGCGGGTCGACCGGCCGCGCCCCCTGCGTCGCGCGCAGCACTTGCTTCACAGCCTGCGGGCAGGAACGGCGGGCAGCTCTGTGCAGTGAGGCGGCCGTGCCCATGCGCAGGCTCGCCCCACATCATGGAGGCGGCCGTCGCTGGCCCCACCTTGCCGGGCGCCACGGCGCCATCTATGGCCTGAGCGCCACCTGCTCCAGTACCACCGCTGCTGCGAAACGCTTTCTTTTGCTTCTTTGATTCACCGCTGCTGCTGTTGCTGCTGCTACCAAACCCCTTGGACGCATCGACACGGAGTGCCGCTGTGCCACGCGTGGAACACTGACGCAGCCCGGAGGTAGGCCGCCGGTGCAGGAGGGGTGCAAGCGGGCGCTTGGTGCATGTTGCAGACAAAGGTTTGTGTACATGAGATGCCTTCATTGGAAGCGGTCCTGCTCGCTGAGCGCCTCTCTGTTGGGACCTGTTGATCGGTGTCACCAGCGCTCGACTTCAGCACGGTACTGCAATGCTGACACAGTAAGAATGATCACGCCCTGTTTCACAATCGACGTACGAGTGCTTAATCCGGAAGTGGAGGGACCATTCCCAGGCACGGGTCGCTGAAGAAAGGCCTTCGCCAGATCTGGCCTGGTGCCTCAGTGCCGAGCACACCCTGTAGCAGCATGGCGCCTGTCGCGCTGTTGCCATCCTCGGTGTTGGCGCTCAATCGCCTCGCGGCGGCCGTGGCCGTTGGTTGCGGCGACATTGCGGCCCCATCTCGCCTGGTGCGCAGCATCAGCAGCGATAGCAGCAGCAGCAGTAGCCAGGCGGCTTCGGGCAACGCAGAGCATAAACAGCATCAGCAACAACAACAGCAGCAGCCACAGCAAGAGGAGCAGCAGCCGCAACAGCAGCGCTCCCCGAGGCAGCAGCAGCAGCAGCAGCTGGCGGCGGCGCTCATCAGCGACGACGGCGCAGCGCGTCTCTGCTCGCCGTCCTCTAGCGACGTGCTCAGCGCGGTGGCACGCGCCAGCAGCCTGCGCCTGCTGCAGAAGCACTTTAACATCAGTGCGCCTGGGCTGCGCGGCCAGGCTGTGCTGGCACGCATCATACGCTCGGGCAGCTCGGCGGTGGTGGTGGACCCGGGGTACTACGGCCTCAGCTCCATCGCCCTCTGCGACCTGGGAGCGCCGCAGCTCTTCACCGCAGACGGCAAGCCGCTGGTCAGGCGCGACGGCAAGGCGCCAGCGCTGCGGCGCGACAGCTTCCTCAAGGTGCGGCTGGGCCAGCAGTTCACGCCCTATGGCGACGTGCAGCTGGAGCCCGTGAGGGTGCGGCCAGAGGTGCGGCGCAAGCTGGTGTGGGGGGAGCTGCGGGAGCGCATGAGCCGCGGCAGCCCTGTGTGGGGCCGCGTCTTGAATCCCTGCGCCGGAGGCTACGCGGTGGGCGTGTCGGGCTACGTCGCCCTGCTGCCCAGCAGGCAGGCCAGCATGCAGAACATCCAGGCCATTGGCGCGCTGCAGCAATTCTATATCCATCGCATGGTCGATAATTTGCGCCGTATCGAGCTCAGCAACTACGGGGACGCCAGCGCCGGGGGCGCCGCGCACCAGGACGACGGCGCCCCCGAGTCCCTGTGGTCCAACATATGAGGGGGGGAGGCGATGGCCACGCCGGTGCAGCGGCGGCGGCGGTGCGGCAGTATGGACAGTGCTGGCTTTGGTGGTTGTCTCTGGCAAGCAGCACGGTTCCCTCGGCTATCTGCGTGAAACTTTTTGTTGTTGGTAGCCATCACCAGACAGTTTTTCGGTGGTGATTACTTACACGCACGCAGAGGGACATAGTGTAGGTTGGTTTGCCAAACTCCTCCTATAGGCAGCTGGTGTGCGTTTGCTGAATTGTTGGGCCTGGAGGAGCAAAAAACAAATATACTCGCAGCGCGATCTGTAATGAGAATGCAAGGGATAGCTGCAGGCAGACCGTGTCAAGTATGCCTTGGGCAATGGTTGGGTTGCCAAAGTGTCATTGTTGTGGGTAGGTGACAATCAAGAATTCGATTGCAATGCCTTTCCCCTAAGGTGCGCTGCCTGGTCAATCAGTTGCAAATAACTAGGGGTTTGGTAGGAATAGAGATTCTACTTCTACGATACAGGGCCCCCACTGCTGAGGGCGCATCCCGGCACACAAAGCGCGCTCCTGGTGACGCAACGGCTCCTCACAGGCCAGATGCGAGGACCAGCAGGAATCGGTACACCGCGCGCAGGTCACGCAGCGCACCCGACCGCCACAGCTGCTTGCGCAGGCCCCACGTGATCGCTGCGGCCAGCAACAGCAGCCAGCGGCAGCTGCTGGGGAACACCAGCTCAAGCACTCTCGCCACAAACTCCACCAGGGTCGACGGACTGCCGCCCGGGCGCCGCTTGGCGGGTGCGCATATTTCTGCTGTAGATGACAGCTGATGCCCTGAGCACCCCGAGGGCGAGCGCTGTTGCAGTGAAGCGCCAGGCGGCCGCCTGTTGCTGCGGCCACCTGCATCACAGGCCTCCGGCTCTGAGGCCGCTCGCCACGGCCCTGGGCCGCCGTGAACGCGCAGTGCCGCTGCGGCCACGCAGGGCGGCATGGGTGTAGGCGCCACCACTGGCTCGAGCTCGCAGTCCTGCAGGAAGTTGTGCCACTCTCGCACGCCCTCCAAGGTACTGGGTTGGCAGTGAGCGGCGGACGCAGGGCCAGGCGTGCCATCACCGCTGCGAACCGCGGGGCTGGACTGCAACCGCGTCGGCAACGGGCAGCTGAGCGAAGGCTCGCGAGCCATGCTGAAGCTGGCCTCCGAGTCGAAGCTTGTGCGTGTCGTGGCCGTCTGCTGCTGCTGCTGCTGCTGCTGCTGCTGCTGCTGCTGCTGCTGCTGCTGCTGCTGCTGCTGCTGCTGCTCGGATCGGGGCTGGTCGCCCGGATGCTGGCGCAAGCCTTCCAACCCTGCCGCTAGGCTGGCCACCTCCACCAAATCACCCTGCAGCTGACACTGTTGCAGGCCTACACGCTCGTGCGGGCAGGCCTCCGCTTCCTGCAAGGGCTGCTGTTTCCGCCGCCACCATTGCTGCGGCTGCTGCTGCCGGCCATGTAGCGCCTGCTCTTCCTGTCGCTGTTGGCCACATGCCTGTCCATGGGCCAGCGTGACATTATTGCCGCTTGCACAAGATGCTTCCCAGATGCCCTCCGACTGATGGCGCCCCATGCCACTTGTCAAGGAAGGCGGCAGCCAGGCGCGTGCTCTGAACACTGGTTGTGCCAGCCAGCAAGCGCAGTGGTGTGTAAGCCAGTAAACGCTGGACTGCGCCTGCGGCTGCCACTGTATGGGGCGGCGCACCGCAGCTCGAGCTGACGCTGCCACTGTCTGCGCAGCTGTACTGCCCGCGCCGCTTCGAGCGCCACTGCTGCTGCTCAGGACTGCAACTCCTGCGCCTCTGGACTGTGGCCGGATCAGAGAGGTCCCGCGCTCAGCCGCTTGGCTTGCGTCATCAACGCAGTGCGACGTCGCACAGCGTCGCGGCGGGTGCAACACGCCGCCAGTGCGGACCTACTTGCTTGCCTGCACGCTCAAGGAGAAACGCAGGTCGACATTTTCAATCGTGTGACACAAGATACGAGGTCTACGCGAGTCGGCGCGCGGGGCGTGCCAATCTGGGCGATTTAGTGATTTGGCTGCTGCGTGGTTCATGAGACGAGCCAGTCCGTAAGACATCCAAAAACGGGGAATTCAATGCACGCACTGTGCGAGGGAGCTCTTGGCTTTCTGACTTTCAGCCTGCCCGCCCAGCAAGACTGCCCAGCTCACCAGCAGTGCTGGGCACTGTTGAGCACAGCAGAGCACGCAGCGTGAGCCCTGGCAGGGGCTCACGGCTTGCCTTGCGCCACGGCACAAGTATGCAAAGTAATCCTGTTCTGAGCAGATCGCCGATGCATGAGTGTTTCATAGCCTGGGTTTGAGGGAGCAGTGACATAGCAGGTGACAGCACAAACCCAGCCAAGATGACGAGTCAAGTCCGCGCAGGCCATAGGCCGAGCCCTCCCCCCAAGAATTATTTGGTGCCAGGCTTGCAGAACTTGCTGAAGAGGAAAGGCGTTGTACTTTGGTAGCGTCAAATTCACAGGTTATTGGGCCAGGTTCCCAGCGGCCAGCAGCTGCAGGGCGATGCCTTAACAGCAGCAGCAGCCAAACGCAGCCAGAACTGGGAGAACCTCCTACTGTATACCAATTTCAGTCTACTGAATGCGCACGGCAGTGCATGCATTACTCATGCACACAGCCGCGGACGTAATCAAAAGCAGGATTGCCAGCAGATGCTGTGTGTCTCTTTTTAAGTAGCACCTGGCAATGCAGTGTGAGGTGCGCAACGCGGCACCATGAGGATTGCTCCACGTGTATGCTAGCTGAAACCCTTGCCTCGTCACTAGAGCCTTGAGTTTGCAGCCAGAAAAACAGCAAGAGTTGACGCCAGGTTCATGGGTTGACTGCAGATTCATGACATGCGCAAAACGCGATGCAAACACGAGTGCAGCCCGGGGACACAAAGCGCTTGCCAGAGCAAAAGCGATGGAGGCCTCAGGGGATTCCGACGCGGCAGCGAGGGATGCCGTGCGCCGCAGTCTGAGCAGATAGCCATAGCCCCGCTCAATAAGAAGCCAGCAGCTTTTCGTCCTTTATGGTCCGCACCCCAAAAAGGTGTTGCTTGGGCACAGCGTAGCACATGTGATGAGCGTAAAACCAAGAGTGGAAGTCAGCCAGAGTCTCAAAGCCGGCTGATGCAGCGTTCCAGTTGGCCACTGCCTGGGCCTCCTTCTCAATGCGTGCCTGACGGGTTGTTGAGGGGCGGTTGTTGAATGGACAAGCGTGTCGGTTGTTTTGCTGCATCAACACGACTGCAGTTGAGGCAGCTGTACCACACTGGCTCAGTCCCCAGGGTACATGATATCCTGCGCCTGTTGCATATTGCTTGCCCTACAAAACATTCCACAACACAACCTGTACATGAGGCCCCCGCCCAATCATCAATCACCTGGAGCACATAGTCATCAAATACACCGTGGTCACTGCTGGACACGTAAACGAGCTCAAATCTTGGGGCGAGGGGTTGGTTGTGCCGGGGAGGGACGGTGAGGGTGATCTTGATACTGGCGTGCTTGATGCTGACAGAGCGTTCGCATGTAATGATGGGCGCCAAACAACAGCAAGAACCCGGTAATGACCGCATGTGAACAACCCCCCGCTTCACATACTTCCCAAAACAATACCAGCGCATCCACCCTACCTGTGGGGGTCATTGTACACGCTCTGCCCCGCAAGCCGCCAGATGCTGTCAAACAACGCCTTGGTACGGGGCATGTGGAACTCGCTGGTGACCACTGCCACGCGCCGCCAGTTGGCCGGGATGGCGTGGATCGTGAGAGAAAAGTAGGCGTTGCTGGGGTATGAGAGGGTTGACGGGAGGGTACAGAAGTCACCGACAGGGCGGCTGTTTGGGGCATAGTGGGGCCCGGAAGTGTGCGTTGTGAGTGTGCTTGCATGCATGAGAGCCCGCGTTCACGCGCTCACGTGCATTGTGTGTGCGCGCGCATGTGTGCGTCCGTGCATGTGTGCGTGCGCGCATGTGCGCATAAGGCGTGGGGGCCGCCCAGGCTTGTAGGTTGTTGACGGCGCGTCACACCTGGCTGCATCTCCTGCCCTGTCATCTCCGCCCCACCCACCCGACCGTGTCGTAGGAGGAGGTCTCCTTAAGCAGGTCACCCGGCACAGCGCCTCGGCCCATCAGATAGTCCGCACATGATGTTGACTCATGGATGACGTGGCCTGTTGGGCCGATAACAGCTGGCTTGTGGGGGGTGCCGCCTCCTGGGTTGGGCGGGGAAGGGGGCACGCTTGGGCAGAATCAGAAAAGCATGCATTGCCCATGACAGGTCACAGGCGCCCTGCAGCACACAACCAGGTGTGGGGGGCGCATGCACGCTTGCACATCCGCAGCTGCCGTGGCAGCACTTTGGACCAAAAATGCCATGTCACATTCACAAGGGGGCATAGAAGTAAGGAGCTGACACCTCAGACGCTACGACAGGGTGGGAAGGGCCACCACGCCCCCGACACCACCAAGGCGCTTCCTCCGCTCGTTTCAACGCACCCAGCAGCAGCACGGGGCAGCACCGCCCCTGCAGCAGGTGCACGTCATACGCCGTGTCCAGCCGGCGCGTCACCCATTCTGGCAGGCCGCCATCGGGCAGAAGACCGCCGGCCAGCATGACAACGGCATCCAGCTGCTGCCGCTGCAGCGCCGCGATCGCAAGCGCGCCACGCACACAGGATTTGGGGTTGCCTGCTGCGAGACCGCCACCATTGCCATTAGACGTCGTGCCCGGGGCATTGCCATCTGCAGAGGCATTAACCTCAACCGACGCGAGCCAGGATACATGGTGCGGCGTGCTGCAGCATGCGACACTGCCAACAACGCCGCGCCTCTGAGCGTAGCAGGGCGCCCAGCCCCAGGCAGCGGCGGCGGCCGTGGCGGCGTGATTGTACTGCCAGGGAGCTGAGCTGTATGTGCTGCTACTGCTGCTTGGCTGGCAGCGGGCCGCCCTCACTGTGCCGACGGCAACCAGGGGCTGGCTCAGGCTGCGGCACCCTCGTGTCAGGCTGAGCGCTTGTTGCTGCAGCAGGCGTGTCATGGCGCCGAACCCTTGATTTCAGGAGCACACGTGCTGAAAGTCGCGGGTCCGTATGATACTGTACACTGATCGCTTCGCTTTGTGATGACGGGTACCGTATATATCCGCAACTCGCGCACAGATCTGCACTGACCTGTGCACAAGCTGTTGATCGCAGCTACGATGAGCCTATGGTTTGATATGCAATCTACGCTGCGATCGTAGCTGCGTGGCGATGATGCGCTTGTCAGTGACTGGCCGGAGTGCGAAATTGAAGGTGGCGTCGGTGCAGCACCAGCGGCGCTCGCCGCCCCTGTCGCCGCCTTGGCAACAGGGCATCGCGACAACACAGCAGCCCGTGCGCCGGCCGGACGTGCGCGCTCGTACGGGCTCTTCGTACGCATGGGGCCCCCCGGAAAAGCAGGAGCGTCGGGTGAGTGACAACAACCTGCTGACATGGCGGCCCCACAGCAGAGCAGCAGTCTGCAAGAGCAGCGGCGACAACAGCGGCGACAACGCCCACAGCACGTGTTGTTACGTGCTGCACGCAACGCCCCCTGTGCTCACCCCGCCCCATCAGGACCCCCAGAACACTAGGCAGCAGCCGACCTGGAGCCGAGAGGAGGATGAGGATGATGACCCAACAGCCGCAGCGGTCCCGGCCCCAGTGGCGACTGCCGTCCGCGCCGCCCGCCGCGCATTCTCCGCAGCCCTACGCCGCCTCACGGGCGGAGAGGCGCGGGCTGTCCTGGAAGCCGCGCAGCTGGGCGCCTCTGTGCTCTTCATCCTGCTGTACGTCTGGAGCACGTACGTGCCAGAGGCACCCGGAAGCTGGCGGTACTGGCTGGATCTGGGGCTGTGCGCGTTCTTCTTCGCCGACTACGTGTACCGCATTACGGTGCGGTGGCCGGGATGGGCGGGTGACCAGGCAGGAGTACGGTCGGGTCTTGGCCAAGTGACCCGGTGTGCACAAGGGTGGGAATGTAGGCTTGTGGCTCGTGCGAGTATTGACACTTGTTTGACGAACGACCCTTCGTGGGCGACTTCATCGACGGGCCTATACTCGTCCAGCACAGATGCTGTGTTGGCGGGCCCTCCTTTGCAACGGCCACGATCGCAGCACTCTCCCTCTCCCCACGCCGATCTGCCTGCAGGCCGGCAGCGGTGGCCGCCACCCCCTGCGCGCCGCCCTGCACCCCCTCAACCTGATTGACCTGCTGTCCTTTGTGCCGTCACTCACGGCGGTCAACCAGCTGACGGGGGTCGACCTGCGGTGGTTCAGGATATTCAGGTGCGGCCGCGCTTGCATTGTAAGCACACTCAGCAATGTGGCACACCCTGTTGTGGCGGTTGCCGTGACGCCGCCCCTGCGGCACAAACCCTTACCCTGCACCGAATAGCCATGACAAGCCCTTGACAACGCACACCCAGGGCGCTGCGCCTGCTGCGTCTGAGCCTGTTGGAGGGCAACCTGCCCCACATGCGCCTGTCACGCGGCGCGCTGCTGGCTGGCGCCGTCAACGTGCCGCTGCTGTGGTTGGTTGCCAGCGTGTGTGCATGGCTCTTCACCAGTGCGGCGATGGTGCAGGTGGGCCGGCTGATATGGGGCAGGGTTAGCAGTCAGACGCGCGGCAGCAGTATGCTCTGCCCTTCGGTTGTGGCGGGCACAGCTGAGCCTCGTGGTCCCACCCACCCTGTGCGCAAGCGGCATGTGCAGCAGCACAGCTGGACACACGCACATCACCTGTTGAGGCGTCTGCTGGCTGATTCCAGCCCATTCTGCCATCGCCCCAGGCTGGCCATCCTGCCGCCATGCCCGCCACTCTCCCCTTGCCCTCCCCTTCCCCGCAGGTCATTGAGAAGATGCCTTTTCATGACGCGGTCTACTTTATCACCACGACACTCACCACTGTGGGCTACGGCGATGTTGTGGTCAAGTCCAGCATAGGTGAACGGGTTGAATAGGGAGCATGGCAGGTGGCGCACATGGGTGTGGTGGTTTGAGGTGCTGGTGTTGTACCTGAGCTCTTGCAAACTGCCAGCAAATAGATGCTGGGCTGCAATGCGGAGTACTGCACTCCCCGTCAACATCCACACCTTATGATTGCACGCAATGCAATTTAAACAGACGTCTCCCTCTTCCGTTCTGCTGTGCCGACCCTGCCAGGTCGCCTCGCGGTGCTGGTGATGATGCTGGTGGGCGTGGTACTCATCCCGGCACGCGCCAGCCAGCTGTACTCACGCTTCTCAGAGCGCCGCACGGTGGCCGGGCCGATACCCACTGGGCGGCGGCCGTTTGTGATATTCAGCGGCAAGCTCAGTGACGTCAGGGGCTTCAACGACTTCTTCTCATCAATACTTACACAGGTGCGGGACCCGGTGGTGTGGATGCCCTCCCCTGCCAGTACAAAGCGTTGCGTAGGGATGGCGGCATGGGCTTCAACCCCAACTGCGCGGCCCTCAGCTCTCAGGTTGGCTGCCACCCGACCTCCACACAGATCCGTCTGGATGGCTCTGAACGCTGGCGGCAGCTGCAAATGGTGTGCCTCACCGACCACGCACGCCCAGAGTTCCTCGCCCTGCAGGTGGGTGGCATTGGAGTGGCAGCGGGGGGAGGGGTTGCTTCGGGGAGGGTTGAGCCTGTGGGCGTCTAGGGAGGTCAACAGTAGGGTCTCAAGGAACATGCGTATCTGTGTGCGTGCGTGCGTGTGTGAAGGGGGCGACTCCAGGGCTGAGTGCTTCCTCACCAGCTCCATCCCGCTGGTGGTGTTGTCAGAAGTGCTCATCTTCGCGAATCCCCGCACAACAATGAAGTACGCCGCCGTCCTGGCCCCACCCTGCACGCCTCCAGGAGCTCTATGAGCGGCAGCTGACGCTGATAGAGGGCAGCGCCCTGTGGGAGCCGGATCTGCTGGGCCGCGCGCGCCTGCCACTGGTGTGTTTTGGATCATGTGTGGGCAGCGGTGCCAGAGGCAGGGAGCTGGTGCAATAAATGACTCGATGACACGCATCACAGCAGGGAGCATGGCCACGACAGTGGCCCTCCTGTCGATGTCTTGCGTAATGCCAACCCCACACTTGCGCCCTCCAACTCTTGGTATTGTGGTCGCGAAGTGAGCTTGGTTAAGGCTTACCAGCTCCTGCATGTTAAAGTTTACACGCCACTCAAGCGGTGGACCTGCACGCCCTGGCCCACCCGTTTTGCCTTGGCCCACACAACATTGCCAGGCTGAGGCGGCGATGGTGCTGGCGGACCGCTTCAGCAGCGATGCGGAGGCGGAGGACACCGATGTGCAGTTCAGGGTGTGGGCCATGAAGAGCGTCACCAAGAAGGTCCCCCTCTACGTACAGGTCAGCAGCACCTGAACAACGCCGCGTTTGTGAGCTGCGCATGCCGCTTTGAAGCGCAATAACCTACCCTTGCTTGAGCTCATGCATGACGCATGGGTGGGACACCTCGTGCTGGTTGTTTCACGCCTCACCGCTGGAATGCGTTCGGCCTGTTTGTCGCTGCAACCCTCAACTCCCAGGTGCTGCAGCTGTCTTCAGTGACCACCATCGCCCCATTCCTGGACCCGGCACGAGATGTCGTCACCTCCCTGGAGCAGACGCGCCACCGCCTGCTGGCGCTCAACTGCCTTGCGCCGGGGGCCAGCACGCTCATCACAAACCTGCTGCGGTGTACTGGCCAAAAGCCGCGCGGGTGAGTGCGCCTCGTCAAGGTGTCTGGCGCGTGGCGCGATTGTTAGTGCTCCCCTTGGCCCTGCGAGAGCGGGGTGCAGCCGACGCTCTTTCATATGCCAGGCAGCACCGTCCATCGTGGCCTTGCCCAACGCTCGCACACTGTTGCTTTTGTTACCCCTTTTTTACAGGCGTTCCCGGCTGGCAGGCCGCCAGTGGCTACGGGAGTACACCAATGGGTGCCACTGTGACCTCCACACAGTCCCCGCGGGCCCACCTCTCGCCGGCCTGCCATTCCATGTTGTGGCGGAGGCCGCCTACACTGCGTCTGGCGCCATGCTGGTGGGCGCGCTGGCAGAGACGGGGGGCCGGCTGCTGCTCAACCCAGCGTGGACGAAGGTGCGGCCGGGGCAGCAGCTTATGTGGGTCGCGGCCTCGCAGGCGCACGCAGCCGAAGCGGCGGCTGGCGGTGTGGCGTTCGCCGCTGCCCTCGGCTCCCAGCGTGTGCGGGCGGCTGAGGCGCAGGAGCTGATGGCGAGCAGCGGCCCGTTTGTTGTCTGGGAAGGCGAGGCGCGTGGCGCAGTAGTAGGCAGCAGCAGCGCCCCGCACCGTGGCGAAGGAGCCAGCGAGCCGGCATCAACCAGGGGCGCAGGCGCAGCAGCTCAGGCGCGAGCAATACAGGGCGCAGGAGCACCGCCGTCCAGCGGCTTCTCAGCCTCTGCTAGCCCCAGTCAAGAGCTGCAAACGGAGCGCCAGCTGCTGGAGCGGGCTCTGGCGGCGGCTCACGGCGGCTCATTGGAGTCGCGCGATGGCGGCGCCCTCGGCTCAATGGACACAGCCGTCCTGGCACACGCGACACATGCAGGCGGCCCGCAGCCACCAGCAGGTGGCGATCACATCAGCGGCAGCAGCATAGGTGGCAGCGGCAGCGGCAGCTGTGGAGGGGACGGGGACGGGGCGCTTGGGGTTGGTAGCAGTGGCGGCAACACCGGCAGCCTCGGTGTCAGCGGTGGTGAGGTGGCCTCCTCTCAGCAGCTGGTCCCTCCCTGCCTGGCTTCTTGGTCGGCCGCGTTTGAGGCCGAGTCGTTCGACGAGGAGTCCCTCTGCACGGACGCTGAGATCGCCGAGGCCACCCTCATGATGCGGCAGTGGGCAGCGGAGCGCTCGGAAGCGGCCGCTGCGGCAGTGGTGGCGGTGGGCGCTCAAGAAACAGGGCCGGGGGCTGTGGCGGCTGCTGCAGCGGCTGCTGCCGCAGCCGCGGTTGCAGGCGGCGCAGCGGTGGCCGCTGCAGCAGGCGTGCGCAGTCTCAGTGTTGGTGGGAGCGGAACACGGTCGCCGGGACACCATTCCCCCGCAGCAGCAGCATCGCTCGACCCCGAGGACGCCTCACTCCCCCAGCAGAAGAGTCGCTCACCGTCGCGCTACGGAATTGCACCGCCTCTGTCGCCGTCAGGCCATGGGGCAGGACAGCAGCAGCCGCGCCCCTCGCATCCACACGCGCGCGCCACACGCACCTCTCTGTCTGGCCACATCATTCTGGCCGGCTGCGAGCGCAGCTTCGCCCCTTTTGCGCGGCAGCTGCGTGCCTGCTGTGGCGCTCGCGGCGCACTGCCCGTGGTGGTGCTGCACCCCACGGCTTCGGGCGCGCTGCTGGACGAGCTGGGGGCCCTGCTCGGTCGCGGCGTGGTGGCCATCCAGGGGCGGCCCTCGGACCAGGCGTCCCTTGAGGCAGCCGGCGCGGCACGCGCGCTGTCACTGGCCTACCTAGGGCCGCCGGAGCGGCCGAGCGGCGGCGCTGGTGGCGGGGGTGGCAGTGTCGCACCAAGCAGCAGCACAATGAGCAGCGTGGCAGTGCAGGCGGATGCGGAGGCTCTGGCCGCGTGCTATGGTGCGGTGCCTGTACAGATGTTTTTGGAAAGTCGGAGGCTGGGTGGCTGGGTGGGGCTGGATGATGGTGTGTCAGGGGGAGCCAATCAACAACGCTCTGGCGACATTCTGCAAGCTTCTGCGCTTCTGGCCTTCAGGCCTGCCTGATTTGAAGCACCCATCGCTGTTGTGGTGCCAAAATAATGAAGTCAACACTTGCACCCATTTCCTGCCCAATCGTGACCGCTCACACACACCCCTCCCCACCCAAAATTGGCAAAGGCGTTGGCGAGGAAATGCTGCCCGGGATGATGAACACGGTGAGGCTGGCACAATCATGTCCCGTGGATCACTGTGTATGTGCAGGTGGCGGGCCGCCGCGACTCCCACCTGGCGCTGCACTTCTCTTCGCATCAAACATGTCCATCGCTCTGCTGCGATACACGCGCAGGTGGTGGAGCTGGGGTTCACGTCGTCCATACGCTTCCTGCAGCCTGGCCTGCTCCTGCACGGCCGCCCTGCGCCAAGCAGCCCCCAAGGCGCCGAAGCTGATGCCGGTCACGGCGCACTCACGGCGCCCGGGGTGTCGCCTACGTGGCTGGCCAAGTCGCGTCGCCGTGGCCGTAGCGCCGGCGGCCACATCACGGCAGCCG